TGTAAATATGACAAACTTGTGGAAAACAAGCTAAAGACTTTGTCAAACATACATTCTTTTGATCTCGGCTCTGTCATCTCAAAGGCTATAATTCCACTATAAAAACTTCATTCAAAGAGAAAATTTAAACTACAATCAACGGTTACGCCAACGTTGTTGTTTGGGACAAACCATTTTTAAAACAATTACAGCGGCCTTGTCAACTGTGTTCTCCGCTTGTTTAGGATCGAAGATAGTAACTCTGCTTCGGGTAAGTCTAACAGCAAAAAAGAGAACAAAGTGAAGAAGAAATGACACAGAAGCAAAAGAGAAACAAATGTGAAACAATAAGTACCTATAAAAAAATTAAGAATAATTACAAATTATCAGTGCAATTCAGTAAAATAATGTTTACAGTACAGTACAGCTATTAATATTCGAAATTTGACAAATAAATAAAACACTCAAAAATGTTCAAAAAGAAATTAATTTTAACCCCTAAAAATAGAAGAAGCAATTTGGGTTTTAAAATATCGAGGCATCGAATTAAACCATGATTAATAGATTAAAACGTAGTATGATCGTAGCGATACTTCAACGAACCATTTTACGACCAAGGCAATACTCTGTCTAGGTTTCGACATACAATAAATTTATTTTTTCAAACAATGGAAACACAAATTGCTTAATTTTAACTATCGGTTTAATTGATTATTAATTAAATTTTATTCCTTATATTTTTTTTATACCTTATATCTTTTCCATACAGTCCGGATACTGTCTAGAATATTGGCTTGAGCTTTGTTATTTTTAAAGTGCCCTGTTTTCATGCTTTCTGGAAGAGTTGATTACCATTGAAGGCTAGCATCATACTTTCTTGAACTTCTGAATATGTTAGTTCGTGAAGGCTCTCTCATTTCGTTTTGAAAAATGTTGAAAAAATTATTTTTTCTCAATTTTTCTCAATTTACTTATGAAATGCAAATTTCAAGCGTTAGGGAATACCTAACGCTTGAAAGAGTTAAATGAATAACTCTTTGCAATTATTGATTAGAATATTTTTTTTTACATGATTATAAATAAAATATAATTTTTCGTATCTTTTAACAGTAAAATAATACTTAGAACAAATAACATATTTGTTATTAACGCAATCATTCGCTGACAGATAACTGGAAATTTCGTACTTCCAAAAATCGTTCACAATAAACAAATTTTCAGTGGTGGCAACCATGTGATTTGAGCCACTTATTAGTTAAGTAGTTTCAAAAATGTGGAACTAAATAAGCCAGCATGTTGTTGTTTCATATATTATTTTTAAAATAAGCAGTTGTTCTTTTGTGACTTGCTCACAAAAGAAAACGCCTTCTATTAATCTATCATTTTTAGTAAGTTTTTCAATTCATCACCTTGGCTCGCTTCAATTTCGATTTTATCGTAATGGAGCAATATATTGCAAATATGTAGTCCTTTCTTACGCCGACGCCATCAGTGTCATTGGGCGTACCAAGCGTAATGTTATAGCTGCCTTCGTTGCTACCGAAAAGGAATCTGTAAAAATATGTTTAGCGATGAATGAGGGCTGTTAAGGATTTCATCGAACTTAGCGCCACCGTTGCAAACAACAACGATGTCAGCTTGGAGATCAGACAAAGAATCACTGTTACCAATAAGTGCCACTCTGGGCTCGGAAGGCAATTGGGATGTAGAGCTCTCTCTCGTCACACAAAACTTTTACTTTATAGGTCGTTCATCTTACCTGTTCTTCTATATAACATTAAAGCATGAACGTTGTCACAGAATGACAAACAGTTATCACAGAATGATGAAGCAACACTATAAGTTTTTGAAAAAAGTTCTTCGTAACACCTTTGGCCTTTACGAGTTGGCGGCGTCTACCGCATCCGAATGAACCACGATCTATACCAGCTTGATTACAACATTTATATATTTTAGCGAATTAACATCCATCCGCTCCGATGATATGACCATGTCGTTAATATGAATGATGATGCGAAAAAGGTATTTAAAGTGGTAATTGGAAGATGGAAGTGTGTAGACCAATTATCCGGTGGAGTGATCAAGCTGAGGGAGCACTAACGGGGCTTAATAGAGGTGACAGAAGAAGACGTGCACACAGCAGAGGCGCTTAAAGAGACATGCGGCGTCAGGTCGAAACTCAATAATAGCCATTTAAGTAAGTTAATAATTATATATATAATATATTGTTTATAATGAATACGTAAATTTATAAAAACATATGTACAGTTAAATATCTTTTGATCTACTATGCATTACTATATTTATTAAATTTATAGGCTATAGTTCATCGGTGATCGTCGATTTATTAATAAAAAATCAACTTTTTAATGTTTTTAAAAGGCGAATACTTGTTTTATTTTATTTATTGCACTTTTCCATAACTTCTTCTCATTTCAGTAAATCTTACTTAATGTTATTTATTTTCACACTTTCCACGTTTTAATGTATATTTTAGAATTAAAACAACAGCACTTTAATTTACCAAAATGTTATTAAAATTGTATCAAAATTTAACAACGTTGATAACTGTTTACCGTTGGGGAAGGAGTGAACACACAAGGTAAAGTGTGTGATTGCATTTAACTTGGTAAGTGCCAGTGAGATCCTTGTCACTGTTCTCTCCAAATTGACACACAGTCTCCACGTGGCCCTCTCTTATAGCTCCAATCATGTTATGTGGCAAGATGTGGAAATCGAAATCACTACTGCAGAAGAAATGGCAACACAACTGGCGAACCAAATAAACATCGCATGTGATGCATCGATGCCCAGATGCAGATACAATGGCAAAAGACAACCCGCATATTGGTGGACAGATCAAATAGCCAGCCTGCGTAGAGCGTGCATAACAGCAAGAAGAAGAGCGCAACGAGCAAGACGACGGCCAGATTTTGAAGAGCAGTACACCGAGTTTTGTACACGAAAACGCGACCTTAAACGAGCAATCCAGCAAAGTAAAGTCCGTTGTTTTACGCCACTACGTGATAGTACCGATGTCGATCCTTGGGGATTGGCTTATAAAACAGTAATGCGAAAGGTAAAAGGCCAGAGAGCCCCTCAACCAACTTGCCCTATCCTGCTAGAGCAAATCGTGCTTACACTCTTCCCCCCACAAGAGGAAGTGATAATGCAAGAGTACGCACAAATCGAGCAGGACAGTATACTGACAATAACAGCAGAGGAAGTGATCAACACGCTGTGCCGGATACACGACAATAAAGCCTCGGGGCCAAATGGAGTTCCCAATGTCGCTTTCAAAGCAGCGGTACGAAAAAACCCACAACTGTTCGCTGATATATATAATGCTTGCTTAAGAGAAGGAGTCTTCCCATCACAATGGAAACTGCAACGCTTAGTACTTCTTCTTAAACCAGGAAAGTTTCCTGATCAACCTTCGTCATACAGACCTCTGTGTATGCTGGACACAGCGGGAAAGGTCTTAGAACGTTTAATCTGTGATCGACTTCAAGAATACCTTGAAAACAACAACGGCCTGTCTGATATGCAGTATGGTTTTCGAAAAGCGAGATCAACAGTAGACGCCATCAGAAAAGTAACGTCCATAGCGCAAGTTGCATGCAGCGGCGGTTACACCCGAATGAAATACTGCGCAGTTATTACACTGGACGTGAGAAATGCCTTTAACTCGGCAAAGTGGCACAATATCCTGTTGGCTTTAGAAAGATACTGCGTTCCCGACTACCTTCTACGCATAATCAGTAGCTATTTCAGCGAGCGAACATTGCAGTACCAGACAGATAGAGGCATGAAATGCTATAAAATTACAGGTGGTGTACCACAAGGGTCAGTCCTGGATCCAACGCTATGGAATGCTATGTACGATGGCGTGCTG